TTAAGTTGAGTTGAGTTGAGTTGAGTTGAGTTGAGTTGAGTTGAGTTAAGTTAAGTTAAGTTAAGTTAAGTTGAGTTGAGTTATTTTGTATCAGAACCAACATACACTAATCTACGTTCATACTGAGGTGCGTCGGAGTGACTCATCCAAGTAAATTCTCAAAGAGTTTTGAATGTTTCATTTCATTTAGCAGAAACCTTCTGAAAACTAATTTGGTAAATGTATTTCCTAAATAATAAACATTGCGTTTTAAGTTACAATCTCATCATAGACAAACAATATTTATATGTTTTTTATTAATTTTTGCAATAGCTAGCCAATCTTCTCACATCCCACGTTCTCGTGTACTATCGCAATTCTCATAAAGCTTTCGTGTTGTCAACATATCATATGATTTTATATGCCTGACAATGTCGCAAATGCAGTTTTCTACTTTGCTGTTTTTTTCTTTCTTTTCCATCGCAAACATGAATGTTTTGTCCACACATTTCTTGTACGAGTACTTGTAGTTCCTCTCGCTGCTGTCTAATAAAAAATTCAGTACCTCTACTACGAGCACAAATGAGCATTGCAAATATTAAATGTGCGCGCTCACAAGAAACAGTAATGCACCATCGCATGCGCATCGACTGCATGTGGCATGCAACAATCGGTGCTTGTTGCAGTAATATGATGCCTGGCTTGGTAGCAGAGCACACGGATATCCACTGACAGGCGCGTTCGTAGAAGGCCCACAACGAAACAGGCAGGGGAGCAAGCGCACACTAGCAAGTAAAGTCAACACTCTTGCTGCTTGTGTCTGTCAAAATGTTCCGACTGTCGCATAATATTCAAATTTGATGATGAAGTTGTTAGCTAGTCCACGCGCTCAGCCAAAGCAAACACTACCTTGCCAAGCCCAGATCAGTAAAGGAGACTTCCATCTAACACTTACTCCAGCTGGAGGACAAGCTTGTCGAGTGGAAGCATGGTAAATTGAGTAGGAAATAAGTGTCTAGCGAAATGTGTAGAAGAAAACTTGTATGCAATAAATTTGTCACATGCGATAGCTTAACTTTTTCTTAGATATTTTTTTGGTGCGAAATTTTTGTAGCAGTAACTGAAACGCTGCTTGGCTGACACCAGAAAATTTGTTGAACTGCAAAAGATGTTTACTGGAGAAAGCATGTTGACTGTTGCTTAAGAAAATTTAGATACGAGTAGGTATGTTTGCGGGCAAATATACATAGAAGCATATTTACATGAATATATACCCAAATGAATTAAATTAAAAAATACATATTTAGTTTTTAGCATTTCAAAGCTTCCATTGCTGTCTCCCAGCCTTTGAGCGTCCACCCACAAACGCCTCCGTGTTGACTTTATCGCCACCTCCAAATAAGCCCCCACCCAAAAATGTTCATTTAAATACTCATAAATCGCAGTTGCGCTCTACGCGCACAAATCATTCATTCATTCTTCTATTCGCCCATTCGCTCACTCAATCGCTCACACAATTGCTGCTTAATGTCGATTGCCATTCGCCTCATGGCCATCTGTAACAACAACAACGAGTAGCCAAGAGATATAGTGCAAACCTAGAAGGCAGACAAGCAGATATGAATGGCATCATTGGTCCATAGCAGCGCCATACATACTTGTCCATACATGCATACTTACAAATGTACATACATATATGTATATAAACTATGGCAGCAGAAGAATTCATCAAACAAATCACAAGCAACTCAGCAAAAATGTGTTCTTCAAAAGAAAATGAGAAACGCAAA